AAAAAAGAAAAGAAAACTAAATTGGTTAAAATAGTTTGTTAATAAATACCTATATTTTAGAGTATATTAAAACAATTTATTAATAACTAATATTTTGTATTAGTACCTACAACAAACAAAGCGTTTACAAAAAAAATTGCATTATGAAGTTTTAATAATTGTTATTCCTAACTTATTGTTCCTACATTTTGTATTCACTGTAGATTACTAAAAATGATTTGTAAGTCCTAATATTTATTTATCATTATACCGTCCGAAACATAATTTTACTTCAATACAATTTTTAACGATAGCATACTATATATACTAGTATACTACATATTTTATTATTTATTAATTAAAAAATATACACATTTTATTAGATGCGTGTGTGAATCATATCTTTAAAATTTGTAAATTGAAGGTATAATTGGTATAAAAGTATGAAGTAAAATAGATAGCAGTAGAAAGATAAAATATTATAAATAATTCCATAAAAACAAAAAAAATTATGTGGTAACAGGTACACATACAAGATCATAACGTAAATTATACGTAATAATGCATTTATTAAATACGGAAAAAATAGGGAAAGGGAAAATATACGAAGTCGAAATAGCGAAAAAATCATACAAATAATTTGGTAGGTACCTCACTAATTACAATTTAAAATAAGAATTTATTTTATAAAATATTAAATTTCTAAACAAAGAAATTAGAAAAAAAAATCAAAAAAACATATAATTAAAGTTCACTGTAATTTTTTTTAATTTTACAGTGAATTTTAATTTTTGTTTTTTTTGAATGAAATACTATTCGACTAATTTTCAAAATAATTATACGAATGATTTCTTTGTACATTTGAGTAAATAGTATTCATAAGTATCATAAGTTTGGGGCGTGCGCGTGGATATTATAAAATAATTTAATATTTCAGTGTAATTTCAGTATAGTCATAAATCATTATCTTTATATTTGTTACGTTATCGTCAGTACCCCCTTAAAGACTGTTCATGTGATAATAAAATGCGCTCCCACATGGAATATTCGTCGGATTGGTTGTACCAATCGTGAGTAATTAAAACGCGTGCATGCGCCGCGCGAAAACACCTAATAGCGCGTTCTATCGGTCGTTGTTAACGTTTCGCTTTTGGTGTGGCGTCCTCTTAAGATTAAAATGGAGACGAACAAATGAACGCTGTACAGCTACGTAATTGTCATTATTTTTATAAAACAATTTTATCGCATAAGCACTTTGTTCAACATTCCACTGTTCCATGGTTACTAAATGGCATGTCTTGCAACTAATAATATTTAGAGAGAATTTTTACTTTAATTGCTACTGAGAAAATTTATCTTTGAAAATCAACCGTTTCAGTGCCCCACCCTGTATATTCATTATTAAATATAACACGAATAGAATTTTTTTCTATTTATAATATTTTATGATATAAACTATTTAAAAATTATTGTTTTTTAATTGTATTTTGTTTGTATTACTTTGTTTCAACAATTCTATAAATGTACCTAGTATCGCTTTAGTTTATTTAAAGTAAATAATAAATTGTATCATCAATCATATTATGTTGAAACTGAATATCAAAATAAACATACTACTGAGTTTTGTTTCTCCTTTATTCTAATTTTCCTGTATTTATGTTTATTCTTCTTTAGTTTTTTTCTTAACTTAAAATCAATATAAATAAGGAGTAAAATAAATTTTTTGTTAGTTGTTTAATATAAAATTTAAACTCATTTTCATACTTCAGATCTGAATTGTACCTTTTCTCTTTTTTCAGCTATGATTTGCAATAAAATATGTAATACCTATGTCAATATTATAAAATTGAACTCTTTATCATTTATTTCAAATATTATGAAATAATTTTTATGCAGAAATAAATCTATTTAAATTGTGTACTGTTCTATTCAATTTTTTTATACACTTTTGATTGACCGAACACCTTTTATTGGGAATAACTGTGTGTGTGATGGTACGAATTCACATATAATAATGTAATAAATGTATTATAAATATTTTAAATAATTATTGTATTAGCTTAAGTCGATGTGACGTAAATGTCGGCATAAGATCGTACTACGAGTATGTCAACTTGAAGGAAAGGTCGTTAGTAATTTGATGGAGTACATCGACGCGTACCACGGTATATAAAAGGTACCTACGCTCAAACAATTTGAGAAAAAACCAAAAATGTTATAAGAAAAAAATAATGGCTGTTATTATAAGTGTAACGATAAATGGTGTTAGAAAAAAAGAAAATGGGGCGCTCCTTTACGTGCAACAAAATAGGTATAAGTGCATCAACATGCGCCACAGACAATAATAATAATAAGATTTGCGCGTTGACACGGTATAAATGTAACAAAAAAGAAACAAAACGCAATCAATATGATACGCTCCGCCGGAACAGAGCGCGAGAGTTTGACCTGACGCGGCCCTAGTCCGAGTGGTTTCGCCCTCGCGACCGTGATCGCCACGTGTGACGGACCGAGGACCACCAGAAGTCTTCGTCTGATGCTCAGGCAGGAGCGGGTTTTATCACTCATCAAGGTAGAGGCTAATGGAGGTTCAAGAATTTAGTTAGTTGTTTTTTAAATCTATTTAAAATTTTAAATTACAGAATATGTTTTTGACTCCGTCATAAGCAAGTCACTTTTTTTCACAATAGTGACAAATTTTAAATAGTTACATTATTGGTATCAATTTTAATCTGAAACAATTTTAAAAATATAGATATATACACGTATAATTAACAACAAAATTGAGCAATTTATTTATAAAAAAAATGTATAAAATAGGTACCATATTTATCAATGACGATTGACGATATTTTATAATAATTGTTAATATATCAATATATCATAATAATTGGCTTTGTAGAATAGCTTAGTCCCGAGAGGGGAGGGCTAATGCCCTCTAACCCACCCCTGTGCTCAGGACACTGTTCGCCAACAGAACGCACTTGCTGTTTGGACACCTTTGATGCGCGTCCACGACACAGCAACGCCACAAGATATGCAACGGATTCTCCGTGAGCACGCGGCGAAAGAACATCCACGACCCACTCACAGGTCGGCCGGACGATGACGTCTCAACCGCGTCATCGCGAAGTCTGACGTCTAGTTACGATAGAGGGGAGGGGAGTTTCGCGAAAGTTCGACCCCCGGCTCGTGGAGACTGGTTGTGGATTATGTCCGGCGCGCCCGAATGAATTCGGATCGTGCACGGACAAGTACACGTAGGCAATAATTAACTACTCCTCATAGACCTCGTGCAATGCAATAAGGACTTATCTTCTTCTGGTCCAACAGATTGGCCGGTCGGCACAACTTATATATATATATATATATACTATAGTGGCGAGGTGAACATTTATAAACCACGATGCACAACATATATTTCTATACGTACCACCATCCACCACTTTCTCTAACGTACCATCCTAGAAATATTTTCAAAAACATAAACTAAAAATTGTTAAAGATTTGAATTAAAGTATTAATTATTAAAGAACCCAACTACTTATATTTTACCAACTCAAAACTAGGATTAGCAAACTATAAGAGGCTTTTCCTACATTTATGTTATAAATTGAATATATGAATATAAATATAATATTAATCAATTATAACTTATAACTGATTAATACTAATGAACTAAAATTACAGAATGTTGATATTATGTGCAATAAAATGCAATTATGTAATCTGGAAAAAAAAATAAAAAACTGCAGACTAAAATCACACCTCCCACAGGATGTCTTTTTATCACCAAATACATCATCATCATTCAAATCCGAATATTCGTAACCATTCTCATTATATGAAAAAAAAATTTAAAAAAATACTTGTTCTCTATTTAAGTATACTGTATAATTTTAATCTACTGTGAGATACAAAAAAAAAAGTATTAATTTGTAACTAATTGTTAAAATAATTATAAAAACAAAATAAATTTGTTAAAACGATTAATTTAATAAATAAAAAAATAATAATTCAACTCGTTTAAAATGTATTGCGATTTCATGCTTGTCAATTCATAGTTATGGACATATCTATTTTGTTTGTTACATGTTGTTTGTTTTTTTATTACATATATATAATTAATGTAAATGGACTCTAACCGTTTAAAACTTAAATAAATAATTTTACATACGAACACAAATTCTTGTACTTTTTCCATAAATCATAAAAGTAACAATTATAACGTTCATCTCAAAAGTGGTCGAGGGCAATTAGCGTCGAGACGTAGTTACCGTTCTACACTTATTATTTATGAGATGACAAACGCACACGTCCCACAGTGGGATGATTTCAATATTTAGTTGGCCAGAAGTCCCATTTTGAAAACCTACAAAATCCTAAATTTTATTGTTAACTATTTTTAATTTGAATATTTTATGAATCAATTTAAAAGTGTAGATCAATAAGTTGAATATCAAGTGAAATAGATCATGATTAGGTACCAGATTAGAAAAGTCTGATGCAATTTTTTTTTATTTAATTATTTTTGACAACTTGGACCATAACATGTATGCATTAAAATTGCTTAATATTGTGTACATTTTACTAAAACCTTTTCAAAGCGGAAAAATGACTGGAAACTTGGGTTTTTTCTGTTAAATATTGCATTGTTACTGAAAATAGGTGTGGGAAAAACTTTTTTGTCATAGTTTTAAATAAAATAACAAAAAATGTGAATTCTAGAAAAAAGTACTTTTTTTTACTATTCTGACTGAATAAAATTAATTAACATATTTCGTGTAAAAATCGCAATTATTCAATAAAAAGGTTAATATTTCTAATCAAATCACTCTATTTCACTTGATATTCAACTTATTGAACTGCATTTTTAAATTTATCCACAAAATGTTCAAATAAAAAATAGTTAACAATAAAATTTAGGATTTTGTAGATTTTAAAAATGGAACTTTTGGCTAGTTAAACACTGGAATCATCTCACTGCGCGCCCGTACAATGACAAATGACGTTAGTCGCGTTTACCAACAGTCTTGGCTGTCCTCCGACCCATCTTCTTCCTCATTCAGACTGTAGTCTTCCGATTCATCGTCTTCCAATTCGTTTTCTTCCGAGTCCTGACTGGAGTCGTCTTCCGATTCGTCTTCTTCTAAGTCCTGGATTTCGTCTTCTGATTCATCTTCGTCCTCGTTTTCGTCTTCTTCGTATTCGAACTGCTCTTCTTCATACTCATCCTCCTCGTCTTCATCCTGCGCGTCCTCATCATCGTGTCGGCAGAATTTGTCTTGACCGTACTCGCACTCGTCCAGGTTGCACTCGTCCTCGTCCTCGTCCTCGCCCTCGTCCTCGTCCTCGTATTCGCCCTCCTCGTCCTCGTCCTCGTATTCGCCCTCTTCGTCCTCGTCCTCGACATCGACCTCGTCCTCGACATCGACCTCGTCCTCGTCTTCAACCTCGTCTTCGTCCTCGTTTTTGAGGTCGATCTCGTCCTCGTTTTTGAGATCGATTTCGTCCTCGTCCTCGACCGAGTCCTCGTCCACATACAACAACTTCCGGGCTTCCGGGTTCTCGGCGTCCATGCCGTCATATTCCCCGTCCCTCGCGTCCGGGTCCTTGTCGTCGAGTTCGGTGTCCAGTACGTGTTCCAGCGACCCTTTTTCTGCGAAAATAAAATCTGCGATATCCTCGTTGACGTCCAGGAACGGACCGATTGTCGCCCGGTACACCTTTTGCGTGCCGCCGCCGAACCACAGCCACAGCACCGTGACGATCTTCACCGCCCCGTACCAGGGTAACCGGAACCGCTGTAGCAGCCAGTCGATGACCAGGAACGCCGAGTACACGATCCAGTGCACCATCAACCGGCGCTGCGCCTCCGTGACCGTGGGACAGCACTTGTCCGGGTCAATCGCATGCAGCTCGTTGTGCATCTCGTACACCGGGCACACCGTCATCACCACCATCTCGATCCACGACGGTATCATCATCGGTTACGCGTTCACGTGTTCACCGTCTTGAACGATGGTGTATGTATTTGCAATTAACAAAAATTTTCACTATGGTCGTCAATCGGAGATCGTACAATAAGAACTCGTCGCCGTGGTAACGATTGCGCGCTTATAGTACTACAACCTGTTGCTCTTTTCTATTCTCTCCGCCCTCCTCGTCACGCGTGGGTCAGCGTTTTAAGGTATAAAATCCCGTATTCCTATAGCATCGAGTACGGGGATCGGACTTGGCTTTTTTCGGCAGCCGATAAAACGTAAATGATCGGCCATTTAAAACACAATACGTAAAATTGCGCGTCATTGACATACAAAACGCGTTATCCTGACTTGACTAGACCGATCACGATCCGAAATCGGTCGAAAACAAAAAGTATGCATCGTGTTGCGGTTTGGAGGCGCCCATATGTTTCCGACGTACCCAAAATTACAATAGTTTACACAGAGCCGACCACACTACATGTTTTTTTCGATCGCAGCTCGCCGTTCGTATGTTTTTTATTATTTTTTTTATTAACAGAAGTTCAGAATGTATATGGAATAATTTTATATTGATTTAATTGATGATGTACATAGGTTCAAATTAATACATGAAATGGGTTTTGAAACATTTTCATGTTGGTTTAAAGTAGCTGAAGCTGTATACTGTTCGGCGTGGGATAATATTTTAGCTGCGAAAAAGAAGAAAAGACTTATCTAGAATGAAATAGGTACTTATAGTAATGTTAGTTGATTTGATTTTCATGATTTTATTAAATACATTTCGTTGAAATCAACCAACATCGTACTATTTATAAAATATATTTCAAATTAATAATGATTCGCGCGCTTTTTAATCAAATTAATTTGGATGTCTCCGGTGACCGATAAATTGCATAGTATGAACGGTTGTTTTCGAATTTGTCGTATGTATTCTATCAGAAGATAGCTGTGCCCAAATTTTCGGAGGAAAAAGATTATTAAAATAATCTTTTTAGTATTAATAGTATTTTTTGAGAGAATTCCTTTTACCACGTGAGTACAAATAGCGTATAATAATAATAATGTTTTTATTTATTTTGTATTCGAATATTTAACTAAATTTAGTTAAATAGACAACTTGAATTTATTGTAAATAATTTTTTTTTTTGTTATAGTTATGTGAAAATGTACTGGTTTAGTTGACCCCCACCAAGAAAGTATTTCCCCCCTCACTCAGATTAATTTGACGCTCGCCACTTACATCTCTCGTATTTTCGTATGAAAATTATAACTTGGTCCTTCTCAACCAAGTGTTTGAAATCGCTCCTGACGACAAACATTGTTCGAAAATAGGCTGCCACTGAAGAAAGCGCTAATATCGGACAATAAATAAGACCTTTACGGGGATACGCAAGACCACTCAAGATCACCGAAGAGAACTGCACTGATGTGAATTCATGAGACGGGAACGGCTATAGAAGAGAAAATACGAAATAAATAAATAAATAAACCCCTAGTATATACAACACGGTACATTATTATTATTATTATTTTTATTGTACGTTTTTCGCGTTCTCGTGGTGTTATTGCACTGCATTTGTCACGCGCGTGTATTACCAATAGTAGTTTGAATGAGAAAAGTGTTTGACGTCGTATTTATTATATTTATCATATGATTACATAGCCCAGTGGTTGCAATCATCACGGTAATCCATTCATATATTATAATTATTTTGAAATAACAGCATACTCTCAGACTGTCGGAATTACACCGAGTTAGATTACGTAACGAATCAGCAACCAACGTATTATTATTTTTACGGTATTCGCGGTTGATGACCCTGTAATGTTCTGTGTAGTGCTTAGAAAATTACGGTCACTACATTAGTAGTTCGAGGATTATTTTTCCGGAGACACAAGTATTTGTTCGAAAGAAGATTTATAACTATGTAATGATAAAAGGTTTTATTTTTAATAAGTAAATTATAGGTATTAATTTATATTTGATGTATAAATGATAAACTGTTAGAGTTAAATTAAAGGATTTGAAGAATCATTTAAATTGAAATTAATAATAGAAACTTCTATATTAATAATTATAATAATAACCGTTAACAACTTTGACTTCATAATTCTTATAACAATACTGAAGATTGATGAAGATATATATATATATATTATACATATTTAAATCTATTTTTTCTTATATATTATTACGTATTAATATTCGTATTATCTTGTGTTTTTTTTTTTTTTTTTTTAATTAAATCGTATACAAAAAAATATTGTTCGAACAGGTGACTTTCATCACACAATCGTAATACCGCGTACTACAAAATATCATTATTATTAGGTTCTGCGGATGTGGTGTCTGGAGACCTCCGTTCGGATTGGATAGGAAAATCCACGAGCTCGAACAGTTCTAACAACGCTTTGTAAACGTTATTGAGTCTCGTTATCTGGACTATTTCAGAATGCACCTCGCCGCCTTCGTCATACAAATCCATATAAGTGTCTATGATCTTGTCAAAGCAGTCGATGTACTGAGATTGCCTGTAAAACGTACACGTATGACATTAAAAATAATAAGAACAATAAAAACAACATCGTCATGGCACGTTTCGCCATCACTGATCCGTTTTAAATCAACAGAAAAATACCAGTCGGAATACTCGTCGTACGGCACGAACAGCGTGCTCTTCATGATGGACGAGATGAACGGGTACAGCACTACGTTGGTGAAAGACAACAGCCACCGCGCGGTATCCGGTACCACGTGGTTCTCCTCCGCCCTCTCGTCAACACCGGCCCGGAACGCCGTGTCCAGAGTCGCGTCCGACACGGTCAGCTTTCCCCCTGGCGGTACGTCCTGGACAAGCTTCAGAGCCGTCTTCGACATTTCCTCCATGGTGCTCTTCAACATCGGGTCCACGTCACCTGCGCTCACATACAACGCACCATCATATTAACATATCTACCAGTGGCGTATATAGGTTTTAATTTATTGGGTGGAAAGAAAGGAGGAAGCACACTATTACGAAAAAAATTACTTTAACACTATAAGACTTCTCGACAGTCTTTACACCATTAGAAAAATAAGAAACTCAATTTTTTTAATGATTTATTATTTTTTAAAAGTATAAAAACTACATTGTAATAAACAAATTTTTTATTAGAGTCACTCAAAATTTACCACATATTTTCTTAAAAGAATAAACATGTTTTATAAATATAAAATTTTAAATTATTGCATAAGCAACATTCTCAGTGTCGCGACAAATTTTCGGAAACCCCCAGGATTTAGACATATCCATGTTAAAAATAACAATCTTTAACAATGGTGTTTTCCATTTCGGAGGGGGCCCGGGCCCCCTCGACTCCCTATAAATACGCCCCTGATACCTACTAACGCCGACTGTGCACGTCATCAAAGGTGGTACAGACCATACGACTCGTTTAAAACGACGTTGTCCCCCTTTTATGATAATGATCTCTCATTGTTCCGACAAAATACGAATGGAACCAAGGCCGTATCTGGGGGGAGGTTCAGGGTGTCTGGACCGCCTCCCTCGAAATTTCTTCAATATTTTACGAATTTTTAAAATAATAATTCATTTTCAATACCAACAAATATTTTCAGTCAAAAATGACGTAAGATCTAATTAATCATTGACTGCTTTTGATTTTATATCATAATATCATATGAAAATATGATATTAATTTTGATAAAAAAGATTAAATCTTTTTCTGTCTTATTTTTAACCAAATATCAAAAGTTAAAATCTAAATTCAATAAAATTATAATATACATGTTTTGGACCCCTCCCGAAAAAAATTTCTAGATACGCCCTTGCATGGGATGCTTTTTATCCCGTGTTTAGAAAACAAACCAGTTTTAATCCCGTTTTATTTCCATATCCTATAAATATAATCCTATATCAAAAACCTATCTCTCTCACAGTCACCTCACACTAACGTTAAAAAGTCGTTAAATAATAAATGTGGAAGTCGATTGCAGTGTTCTATACAGTGATCACTACAATACTGTTATATTATAATTACGTTACAAACTAAAATAAAATGATACAAAATATGTTTAATTAAAAAATGATTCTTGGTACATTAATAAAATAATATGTAATAAAAGCTTAGAAATATAACCGCTCTACTTTGGTGTTCATCGGGCCTAATACCAAATTTGACAACGACACACAAAAAAAAGACAGGTAAAAATGTTCGCAATTGTGTTGCGGGAGAAAGTCCGTTCGCAATCGTATGTTATCCATATTAAAAAGATCCGTAATTATTGGGAAACAGTACTTTACAACATTAGCTTGTTCACAATTTTGTAAATTCTTTTGAAGCACCGATAACTGTTAAATTCAATAATTTCTTTAGAAAAGTACGAAAAAGAGTGAAAAGTGTAGAAAAGGATTATCAAATCCATGAATATTGAAGAGAGCTGTTAAGTATTTTTCTAATTTGTAGTTAAAAAAAATGAATCAGTAATGATATGGAACGATCTCCCTAATGTTAAATACTTTAATAATAAAAAATTAATTATTTTCTTGTTAACAGTATTTTATTTTTTAAAAATTAATGTATTATATTTTTAGTTATTATAATTATGTTTTAAAATGCAATTTATTTCGGTGGGAAGAGAGAAAGTAACTACTCTCCCGTTTTTTTTCTTTCTGGAAATGGTCACCTTAGTATACCTGCCACTACACTGTCTATTATGTTCGATCAATGGATTTACCCAGAGAAGGAAATCTTGTTAAAGGAGGACAGGAATTTGGTTTTTTTTTCCAAGGAATAAGTACAAAATTATAGAGAATTTCTACAGAGCGTTAAAAATGTTCACGCACCACACCTCAATTTTACGACCATACTACGACCTGCTATTACTAATCGCTCTGTTTAACGTATTAAATTATTGGACGTTTCGATTTCCTTTCGTTGAAGTAAGACTTAAAGCAGATGGATCATATTACAAA